TTGATCACCGTGTCTCTCCCTCTAGAATATGGGAGTCTATGGATAGCCTCAGAATCCTTCTTAACACACTGACTTAGGCTGCTAAAACTCATCACTTGGCATTCAAAACAAAAATGAATATTTTCTTATATTTACTCCTCATTTATCGACATGGTTAGTAGGCTCCACGGACTAGGTCGTTAAGCACAATTGGTATTACCTGAGGAGGAAGAAGAAAAGGACACAGAGATGGTACCAGGATCTGGAACCTTGGAGTAGCTCTGAGTCCATGACCACTGGGGACCCCATAATCCAGCCACTGAGGGTAGCGTGCAAGGGGACGTATGGCCTGACGTTGGGCTAGTGGACTGGAGGCACAGTTCGGGCAACTAGTTGGGCTGAGGGTCAAGACGGTGAGTGAAGGTTGCTGCCCATACACGTCTGCTCACAGCTATCACCGCAGAATTGGTGGGGTCCCCTGGAGACGAGCATCATCATCACCACACACTGTTGGTCTTGGTATCTCAAGCCAAGAATCTAGAGACTAACAATTGCTCAGAAGAGAAGTTCGGCAGCCTGGACCACGAAGGAGGAGGGAGCAGCTAGCTTCTGCTGTAGTCCCAGTCTATTCCCACTTCGGGCCTCGGTCTGTCCATGAGGCCTGTTCACCACGGGAGCTGCAACTTTCTCCTTGCTTCCACCTCCTCCTGTGCACCCTTAACCACTCTCACCTTCCTCAGAAGGACTCTCTCAAAAATTCACCTCAGATAGGTTTTTCACATGAAGAGCTGCAACGATGACTCCTGCAGTGGGGAAGGGACCTACAAGAGGCCTTCTAGAGTAATGGTTGCTTCAGCTTCAAGCTTAACAGACATGAATAGTTCCCAAGTAGGAGCTGGGCACTGGGAGCAAACCCAGGTTAAAGCCTAAAACAGTCACATAGCTGGTTCCTGAGTATGGTCGTAAATGAAGAATGTTGGATGAGGTAAGTCGGTATGTGTGCATTATCTTTCATTTGTCACAAAGATCTCATTTTACAAAAGCAAAAACAGAGGCTCAGAAGGAAAAAAAATGATTTGCCCAAGGTCATGGAGCAAGCCCTTGACTGAGCTTGGCATTCACTTTATGTACCCACAAAATCATGTTGCTTTACAGCATCAAGGGAGGAAATACAATGATAGCAAAATAATATACATAAATAAAGGAAATTCAAAATTTCACCCTGACCATGAATTCAGCTTAGACATCCAGTGCAATATGGCAGAGAAGTTCTTACCACCCGACTTATAAGCAGAAGGTGAGGGGATTCTGAGGTCTGAGGAAGCAGCATACCAAGAAGCAAGTCAAAGGTGGGGGGAAAAATTGTGGCTGACACTGGAGGAGTTTTAAAACACTGCTTCTCAAGTGAAACAAACCACTGGCTGTTTATTTTCTAGGACCAGAGAGAGGTCAACCTTACGCTGACCAGCCATCTTTGTTGTTTTCCTTCTGCAAAAGCAAGAGCCCTTGTTCAAGTTCACCTCTGTGCAGGCCTGAAAGTATAAACAAACCCTTTCTCCTAGCATGGTCCAAAGTCAAGCTATAAAGCAGGCCCTTGAAATTTCAAACCTTATTAAAAAAAAAAAAAAAAAAAAAGAGAGAGAGAAAAAAAGCTCTTTAGTCAGAAAAGCAAAACATTAAGTAATAAGAGTCTCCACTGTGAAACTGAGCATAAATGATCTTTCACCAAAATAACTCAGCCCATCATCAAATTACCACCCCTCAACTTCAATTTGCCAAAATTTTTACCCAATAGCATAACAGAGTGTGGTGAGCAGACAGACTACTAAAAATGAGCTCATATATCCATTTCTGGTCACACGTCCATGTCAATAGGAGGTAAGAGAGGCAAGGCCCAGGTCAGCTCTCCATTCTGAGAGACGCCAATAGAAACAAAAGAAAACTGACCCCGCCTCCAACAGTTCCATCATGCACCTCTATTTCCTTTACAACAAACATGATCAGAATAACCAATTAAAAAAAAACAAAAAAAAAAAAACCCACCACAAAACAGATCTACCAAACAGAAACGATTCTGAATTTCCGGCCAGGGGGCCACTTTAAACCATAGTCAACACAACAAGATTTCAACAGAATGAAGGAAATCTGAGTTGTGTGTCAGGAGCTCCAGGAAACACAAAGGGCCGTGCTGTCATATTTTTATTTCTTGCACCAGAAATAACCTGTTATCTACAAGCCTGACTTTTTCTTAGATGCCCTTACCCCGACCCAGGCCTCCCTACCCCAGGACATAGCCCTCCTTCCTCACTCTGCCAAACTCAGGCCTACTGTCTCTGGAGGTTCCACAACCCTTCAAAAATTAGAAATTCTTGGAGCGTCCTAGGAATCGGCCTAAATAATTCAACAGAAAAAAAAAATTTTAATTATACTACTTCTAAAAAAACCCAAAAACCTCATTCCAAATATGTCAGAATGTGGCCAGTTAGGCTTGAAAGATTTAGTTACTTAAAAAATAAAAAATTTAAAAAGAAAAGAAAATCTCCTAAATGCAATGATGATGATGGGAAATGTCGAACCTGTGCCACTGTCAAGTGTATTTCACAGAATTCTTATCAACTTAGAAATTCAAATCTCCACAAGAGAGTTGGATATTTGTGGAATAGAACTAACAACTCTTTCAGGACCAGCTGGTGCCTAATAAAAGGAGCAACAAGAATTCCAGATCTAGACTGTGTTTGCCCACCCAGGAACCCAGTCCAAAAAGATTAACAGTATTTCTTCTACTCTTGGTCAGAAAAATCATAACTTTTCTTTTCCCCCTGAGCTCACAATCTCTAGCACTTTCAATCAAATCATATACTAATTATGACAATCAATCCTTCAATTTTACATGAATACCTAATTTTTTGTCTCAAATTTCAATTCAGTAGATAATGGGGGGGAAAAGTGGTAAATTTTCATTGTACTTTCAGTTGCTTCATTTGAAGGCCAAAAAGGAGAAAAAAAAATACTATTTGCAAGAAAGTATATTCTTCTTTTTCTCCCCCAGAAAATTTAAAATTTTCTGCTGGAGTCAGCTGAGTTGATATTTTACCCCACTTTTTCAGCAAAGAAAGTGTTCCATTAGATGGATAAGAATTAGAATTTCCATCCCCCTTTGATCTTCTGTCTTTTTATTTTTCTTTCTGGTTAAGTCAGTAAAATTTGAATTTTTGGTTGGGGTTCTTTTGGTCAACCAACCTTAAAAAAGTAATAAAATTTTTGAGGAATACCAAATGTTATCAAACTACCAAACCCACATCACAACCGATGAGGACTGAAAACAATTCAGATTTAAAAAAATAAATAAATAAATTTTTCAAACTGGAAAAAGTGAGAAAGCACAGAGAAGGGAAATTTTTGTTTTTCCAAGAATTCCTCAACCCTTGTCTTCATCAACTGATCTAGTTTCATGTCATAAAAAATGGGCTTCTGTGAATCCACTGTTAGTTTTTTCATAATAATGTTAATTATGCATATCTTATTTTAATGGCGGTCTCTCCTACAAATCTCTGAGCTACGCAATTTGTGTAATATAATGAATTTACATTTTCACGGAATACCGTTCAAAAAAAAGGTCTGACTTTTTTTTTTATAAAACAACAAAAAAGAAATGCTTAGACCTTTTTGGAAACAAAATCTGACAACAGTCTTAATTATTCTATCAAAACAAACAAAAAAACCCCACAAAACCCAACATAAGCAAGGAAGAAAAAAAAGAGACACGATTTCACTCCAACTTTTCCAATCTCTTTTTTTTTTTTTTT